TCCACATAAATGAAAATGAAATTTCCTATTCTGTATGAAAGATTAAAATGACAATTCACATACTTTAAGATTATTTTCTGTCATTTTTATTATATAACATTGACTTTCAATATATCATTGTTGAACAATATCAATCCTTCACAATTAATTTTGATGTCGTTAGGTTAAATTTATTTATAAAACAAATATCCAAATACTTTTTAATATGCTTATCTCACTTGATTTCAATAAACTTTATACTTTCTTCTACGTTCAGTTTCGTATATATTTTTTTTTTCGTATGTATTTGATAATCACCTTACATTTAATGGATGTTCGAAACGTCAATTAAATTGTTTGCTAATTCATTTAATTAGAAGATCAAGTTGACCATCTTTAACTCTAATTTAATGCTTTTGTAAAATCTATAAACCTGTATATTCGAAATATAATATTTAACAATGTAAACATTCGTGTTTACCGTATTGTTTAGTTATTAGCAAACAATAGACATTTCAGCTTCATTTCTATTCACGAAGAGTACAACAATTGAATTTAATATATTTTTAGCGCATTATTTGACAGGTAAAGTACTTTTTACAATCCTGTAACACCGCGAAACACGCGTAAATATCTTCAAAAATACAATTTGAAACATAAAACTTATGTATATAACAGTATACTATGCAATCAGTTTATAATAGAAATTACAAACTAATTGCAATTACGCAAAATAATATGAATGGAAGTTTGGCACACGAGCGGACCGAATAGGACAATTTCTATAAATGCCATAACCGCTAATTGTAAATGAATTGTTATGCAGTATTTTGTGCTTAGACTACACCTATAACTGTACAGTTGACCCTGTTGATAAATCCGTTTTATATGAATTCCATGTTGTACGAATCACTTAGATTTTTCAAATACGTGAGCCGTTCACAGCCCGGCACTCGTATTTGTAAAATTTAAGTGACTCGTACAACATGGAATTCATATAAAACGGAATTATCAACAGTGTTATGGGGGATCAACTGTATATTTGTAGAACTTCAAAATAATGTCTAAACACAGTGTTTAGGCCTATACATAATTTACATTTTCATAAGTGTAGTGTTATAGGTGTAGTCAACCACAAATACAATTATTTAATTTTTTCCTAGATTATAATCCTACAAAAATGTTTCAACACGACGACACGCAACGTTTAACAATCCAGTGTATCTATTTGTAGAAATTCGTCACTGATAAATACGTGTAATATCATAAATAAAGGTTACACGATTCTTTTATAAAAAAAACTTAATATATATTTTAAAAGAATTCTACAGTATTGCACATTTTAATTTCAATTTACTGGCAGACTGAAATAATATACGATCGCGTAAAGTTTCGTATTGCTCCAATGAGAGCACGAAACTGTCAGATTGTTTCGAATCGTCGACAGTTTCCAATGCAACCAACTTCTCGTCTTCACTTATATTTAATGATTTCCGGATCTCTGACGAATTCAAATTGTATTTTACATTGATGAACCTATGAAAATGATTTTCACCCGGAAGATATTTTACGCCAATAAAATAAATGTCTACGTTAATTACGTTCATTACTTGAAGGAAATCGATAATGCCTGAGATAAGTTCTCTAATATCGTATAAATGATTCGAAAACTTCTCCCGAACTAAGAGAATAAGATAAATCTTTAAATTTTTGGTGTAACTCCAGTGATTCGAAAAGTAATTTATGTAATTCACCCATTCGTCGTTTTCTCCTTCGGTCTCGTATAAATATAAATACAGTTCTTTGAATTCATACAAGTTAGATAGCTCTTGAAAATAAATCAGGAATTTCCAATAATGTAATACCACTTTTGAATGAAAACAAAATTGTTCCCAATTACTTTTCAGTTTTATTTGTTTATGAGCGCGGAGCATAAATTGAGGCATGTACATTTCTTTGTCGACATATGTTAAAAACTTTTTGGATAAAGGCTCATCCTTATTTAATCCCATAAAAAATAATAATTCCATATTAGATATATTATATGGAAATGAAATATTTCCTATATATAAAGATAAAGCGGAAAGAAATTCGCCAAATGTCCGATGAACAAAACTGTATCGAATGATATTATCGTATTCAGAAAAGGAATCCAAAGTAAAAATATCTAATCCAGTAATAAAATTGTGTTTATCTTCATTCGGAAATAAGGACTCCAAATCTTGTGACGTGATACAGTTTATATCCCTCTTTAATCTAGTTAATTTCAATAGCAAATTTTCACCCACAAAATATTTTCCTCTTTTAAATTTACGTTTATGATTAGTTTTTCTAACGTACCGTTCAGTTACAAGAGTAAATATTCTGATGTATAAATCAGCCATCGTTTCAAGTTTTATTATTTCTCCATTTCGATGAAGACAGCACAACATGTGCAGCATCAGAGGACATTCTGTTATTTCTCTGTAAAAGTCATTTTCTGTCAGTGCAGAAATCAGTTCGTTCGCTTTACTTTCATCTTCTCTAAACAATAATTGAATATATTTTACTTGATATTCTGCAGAGAACCCTTTGATCACTATTCTCATCTTCATGTCTTCTCTGATCTCTTCCGCTGCTTGAGGTCGACTCGTTACCAAAATAGTCATTATGCGAGAAATATCGAAAGATTCGTCTCTTATAAATTTTATAATTTTAGATTTATCTTGAATCTCATCGAACCCGTCTAAAATTACCAAAACGTTCAGTTTTTTATCTTGCAGTTCCCAGTTTATATCAAATAACTCATAAATATCATCGAGTAATGCATCTGCTACACTTTTATCGCCTAATTTTCTTAAAATTACGATAAAAGTTAATTGAAAATGTTTCAGATAATTGGAGGATACCCAATCGTAGGCAATTTTCTTGCATAAAGTAGATTTACCATAACCGGGATCTCCTGTAACTAAAATAGTTTGATGTCCATCTTGTTCTATGGCAAATATCTCATTCAAACTTATTTTTTCTCCGCATTCCTTTCCAAATAAATCTGTCTTCTCTACAGTTAATTCTACAAAGTAATCCTTTAGTGGAAAATCGTTCCTCTTTCCGTCCCACAAGACAGATCTCATATAGGAAAAGTAAGTCACATATTTTCTGTTTAATTTCTGGCAGTAATTGTCGAACATTTCTGTAAGTACAAAACATCATAATCAAACGTCGTGTTAATTATTTTTATTTTATTTTCGCAGTCGTAATTATACAGAAACTTATTTCTTAGTTATGATAAATTTCCTCTACTTCTTTTTGTATAATTATGTATACAAGTGTTTTTTTTAAACTTTCCTTTATCGCTGACCGGAAAAAATACGTGACTGTCAACTATGCCTATTTATTAAGCTCATATGTGCTTATCTGAAGATACTGTTCGTAACAAAGTACGTACACTAACTCTATATTCCTATTTAAATGTCTCCCGTAATCAATTGCGCAAACTAATGTCAAATAATTTTTGGAAGAGATACCGGTTCGTGTACCAGCGGTTGAAAACACTGACATTAATTACTATTTAGATAAAGTTTTGAATAAAAATAAAACAATAAAAAATTTGAAGTAACGTAAGAATTTCTGTAAAAAAATAGAAAATAACAATGCATATGGCTCAATCGATAAATAGAAACTTGCGCTTACAAGTATAAATGTATTATAACGGTAATTCGCTGCAGATGTGATGTGACTTTGACGTCTCCACCTTGCGATAATTATATAAAGCACTTTATATAATTAACAAATTTCTGTAACGTGGTAATATAATTGACTAATAATTTATAATTAATTGATTGTTATGGTAAATTAAATAAAGGTATTGATTCTCGGCACAAAACAACACAGAAATTAAAATTATAAAGTAGTCCCTTTTCCATATTTATTATTAAGACATTGCCATATTTGCACTTACCATTACTTTCTTCGTCTTCTGTCTTCGAGCAACTTCCATTCCGGTCTTCAGAATAAATTTCTATTCTAGGTCCAACGTGAACTTGTGTACAGTTCTTGAGCATCGTCGTATATTGATTACAATTCTCAACTGAAATTAATGTCGAATTGAATATAATTTGTATTGAATTATTTAACTAAAGAGGAGTTAAATAATAACAAAAATTGATCGATACAATGGAAAAATTTTTGTGCCTAAGATAATATTTCAGATAAACATTTATCTCTGTGTAAAATATTACAAGATAAGAATTTACTATCAGTAATTTATCATTAGTTTCTAAATAGTTCGAACACATTATTCAATTCTCCTATGTATAATATCCCCATTTTGTTTCTTAGTAACTGATAAAAATTTGAAAATAATCACTTTGTCTATGACAAGCATTACAAAGTTGTTCGTAAGAAACTAAAGTATTTTAATAAATTGTTAACATTTTGTAGAGACGGTGTCTTAACTTGGCAAGAGTGATTGCGTACTTCTGAGAAACTGAAAGTTATGCCATCGGTAGCTCTGCATTCCCAGAAGGGCCACGCATGGCGGAAAGGTTTTGGTGGAGACGTCAGAAGAAAATCGATTCAAAAAGTCCACACACGACCTTTTCAACTAAATTGTGATCCAAGAAAGCAACGGGAAACTACTTGGATTATTCTTTCCTTGAAAACTTCGTTGATGTCAAAGAAAATAAACCTCGGCTCCCGATTTTGGGCGTCCCTTAAATGGGACAGGGTGTGCTAAGATTCTCCGAGCTTGCTTCGAAGAATTCTCTAAAAATAGCTACAAGGAATGGCCAAAGTTTAACAAGAAATGGAACGCATCAACATAAATATACTCGGTCTAAGCGAAACTAAATGGCATCGAAATAAAGAAGTTTATATCAAACGACCTCCACGTCTTCTGTTCCAGAGGAGAAGAGAACACCAAGCAGACGTACAGCGTCGCTTTCGTTGTCCATAAACAACTGGCCAACAAAATCACCAGTTTCACCCCAATATCAGAACGAATCGCACTACTACAATTAGCAGGCAATGAGATCAACGTGAACGTGCTCCAGGTCTATGCACCAACAGCATACAAAGACGATAAAGAAATTGAATCATTTTACGACCAGCTNAAGTATATCAAATCACAAGTGAGAACACGAATTACTGATGTTCATTTGGAAAACTGTTTGCGTGTAGCGACAACATCAGTCCAGATCAATTTTGATGCACTTACTTGTTAGTTCTGTAAAACAAAGTCAAATTTTTAAATTGTGTAATAAATATGTTTCTCGGTTATTAAATAAATGATTCTCGGTTATGTTTTACTTTCTTCAAAAAAATAAATATACCTATTTTTTTTTTGTTTTTTTACATTAAATCAGGCAAGTGTTTGACCACGATCTCACCTACTGGAAAGCAACGATGCGGTTGAAGGTGTAGCACGCTTGCTTGTTTACTTTAATTTTAAAAAAAATTAGGTGCGTGGCCCGGCAGGAAATATTATTTCTGAAATTTGGCCCGCCTACTAAAAAGGTTGGCCACCCCTGCTATAAAGCAACAAAGACAAAGTCTACTCACACAGACATGTCAAGCAAACGAGTTGAGAGTTTACAGGCAGATTTCAACATGTCGACTGGAATCGATAAGTATTTCCACATCACATACCTATTACAAATAGCAAATAAAAAATATATCGTATTTGCTGTAATGTTTCAGGTTTTAAAACCCCATAATAAGAACTCTCTAATGGCACGAGCCTTATTGTCTGTCACTAACTCGATTACATCATTTCAATTATTGTACGAAACTAATATTTGTAACAGCAAATATTTAAGAGATAAAAACTCTGAAACTAACGATTAAATCCAAAATGCTTAATAAATAGTGTCTGCTCCATCTGTTATATGGTTTTCTTATTAATTGAAACACCTGTAGGTTTTTCTGCATTTATGTGGCGTAAAGTCTGTTATTGAGATTTAGTTAGTAAATTATGTAATTAATAGTAACTTATCGCAAAGATAATGTTTATTAAATTGAATAAAAATATTACATTTTGACCATAAATAATGATATTTATTTTGATTTAAAATCATTGCTATTTTAATCTGTACCTATATAAATATAAAAATTATAGTCAAATTGATAAAAATGTTGTTAAATTTATCGAATATTTACCTGTTCTAAGTTACTTTTATCAATTTTTTAATCCGGCTAATAATATACTTGTATTAAAAGTTAAATCAATAGTTTTCCATTTATTTACTTTCGACCTAGATTCAGCACAACAGAAAACTTTTTAAATGATTCATTACAGAAGTGAAGAGTATTTCATAACAATGCGCAATCAAGTTGTTTCTGTTCGAAAAATTTACTGATAAGATTATTAATCATTTATTTTTGAAGATATACTTGTAGCAGAGGTCGTGTATTGATAACTAGCAGGTGGGCCCGGCGTTGCTCGGGCAAAAGTAACGGTAACTAAGATAAAGATTATTACGTTACAGTAAACCTTACCCGTTTTCACAGAATGCAAGAATTGGGTGCCCTTGTTTCCAGACTAATTACAGAATTTTTAGATAGGTCTAAAAATATGTTCGATTTCCCGCAAAAACGAAAAAAAACTGCATCTGTGTATCGCAAGTCGCTTTCTCTTAACAATTCCATTGTTACGTAACATTTCCATTGTTGACACTTCCATTGTTGCTTAAAACTTTTATTGTTACTTAAAACTTCCATTGTTGATGGAAGTGTTAAGCCTTAATCCTGTCCCTCTTCCTCGTGAGGAGGAATTTCGAAAAATCCCTTCTTAGTGTGCGTTCTCCTAACGTATTCTAACTGTGTACCAAATTTCAACTTTCAACTCCTAACCGTCTGGGCTCGTATCCATAATGTATATAGAAGTTTTAATCCTGTCTCTCTCCCCCCGGGGGGAATTTCTAAAAATCCCTTCTTATTGTGCGTTTTCGTGACGTACCCTAACTGTGTACCAAATTTCAACTTTCAACTCCTAACCGTTTGGGCTC